TATATATATATATATTCAACAACCTGATAATTTTTTTATCTTTTTGACATTTTGTTTTCTATTTTTATTTTATAATTTTAGTTATATATGGTTTTTTAATGTTTTTATTTATTTTGATTCAAGTAAATAAACTTAAATTCGATAAATCATATCGAAACCTTTTTTTTCTTAATTATGAAATGAAACATTAATGTTTTTTTTAATTTTATGTTGTTACAATTTTTTTTTCTTTGATGCTACATAGTTAATATCGTTAGCAACTTTATGTTTGCATTTATCATTATTATTATTTCACCTTTTGTTTTTTATATATTTAGTTATTTATTATTCTTCTATTGTTTTTATTTATTTTGATTCAAGTAATGAAAAATAGAAAAACAAAAAAACAAAAGCTCAAACCACAAAGTTGTAAAATACTATAATATATTAATACATTTTACACTTTTCATATTTTTTGGTTTTTTTCGCATTTTTTTATTAATTTTGGTTATTTATGGTTTTCGGAACTTTTTTTATTTTGATTTGTGTAAACAAAAAAGTTATGTTTATTTTCTTTATTTATATTTGTAAATATAACTATTTTATTTACGCGAATCAAAATAAAAAAAAAGTTACAAAAACCATAAATAACCAAAATTATAAAAAAAACAAAAAAAAACTCAAACACCAAAATTATAATATACTCTAATATATTCATACATTTTATACTTTTTGGAAAATGTCAAAAAAAAGTTATCAAGTTGATGAAAAATAATTTATATATATATATATATACATAAATTTTCAAATTTATAAAATTACATGAATGGTCCTTGAGGTTTGTTCTGTATTGCAATATTGGTACAAGGGAAAAATAGTCTTTTCCATTAAAATCTAACAGCTGAAAAGTTAGATTTAACGGCAGGAGGACCTTTCATGTAATTTTACAAACCACAGGGACCAGTCGCGTGACTTTTTGCTAGGAAGTCCTCAAAGTGTGATATTTTGTAAACCACAGGGACCAATTGTGAAATTTTGTCTTTTATAACTGATCAAACAAGTTCTTATGTTATATGCATAAATAAATATCCAACTGTATATAGTTACGTTACGGCTCCACAACTAACTTCCCAGTCGCATGCCCTTCGATACTCTTGGCCCAAGCCTCTTCAGCCCGACTTAAAGGATACCTTGAATCAATAACAGTTTTCAGTTTCCCCTCTTTCACATAATTCAAAAGGCACTCAATCTCTTCTACTTTTGGAACCACAATCAACGGCTGTAGTTGCTTCTTTGAAAACGTAATTTTATTCACAGCATAAGTCCAAAACGCACGACCACCAGGTGTTAAATCAACCACTTTCCCCTTTGGGCTCAAATTAGGCTTAAATGTCGACCATGGGATCCCAGTTGTACAATGGATAACCACATCATATTTTTTACCCGATGGGCTTTTAAGGGCGGAACCTTCCGGAGTCTTGTAATCAAGAACCTCGTCCGCTCCTAGGTTTTTGACAAATTCAATGTTACGGGCCCCACATGTTGCGGTCACATGCGTGTTTCCTAGTTTTGCTAATTGGACCGCGTAGTGGCCCACCCCGCCTGAAGCGGCGGTTACGAGGATGTTTGATAGGGGTTCGGTCTTGACCAAGTTTAGACCGGCGGTTATGGTTAGGGCGTGAAGAGCGGTGCACCCTGCGATGACTAGACTCGCACCGTCTGCAGCCGAGACCTCTGCCGGTCTAGAAACCGTTAAATTCTCCTTAGCCACGGCATACTCTGCGAACCCTCCACCTGTACCCTGCCATCCAGTCAGCAAAAAGGTGGAGTTAAAACCAAATTTATACTGTGTTTGACATGCATCAGACTTAGAAAAAACAAACTGAAAAGGTCAAAGGATGGAACTCACAAGGGTGGACACAATTTTGTCACCAACTTTAAACTTCTTCACCCCAGGTCCAACCTCCACAGCCTCCCCTGCTACATCACTAACTGTTCCAACAAACAAATATGGTTATGTTACGTACTAAATTTATAATTTGTGCTACTTACATCCTTGAACTTTTTTAAGTATGTATTTAGTCATAAAACATAATATTAATATACTAACCTGGTATAAAAGGAAATTTTCTGGGCAAAATAGGGCGCATCCTGCCTTTTTGAATTGTCCAGTCGAACGGATTTATGCTTGATGCTTCTATTTTCATCAGAATCTCAAGATTGCCAGGAACAGGAACGGGGATCTCAACATGCTGCAAAAGATATTATCAACAATTAAAAATAACGAAGAATTTCACTACATAAACTGAAAATGAGAAAACAGCATGCAGTCTCCTTGAAATGTGATTGTTTTACCTTCAAACCAGCGGAGCCTCCGCCATAAGAATCGTAACAAACAGCCTTCATCAATTTTCCGGCCAAATTCATCCACCGATCTGGGATGAGGTATGAATGTACTGACGACGTTTATTGATTATAAAGAACTTCACGATGACCAGACGATTCGTCTGTTTGACTTTTCAGATCACGTATTTTGACTGAGTTCCTCGGCCACTGTATGACTTTAATTTCATGTATTCTTGACCACTTAATTTTCATGTATTCTTGACCACTTGATTTAGTTTCGATTTACAACCAGTTTGGTTCGAAAATAGGGCATTAATCGATTGCATATATCGTATACGGCGGTGGTGTGGTGGTAGTGGCGGCGGCATGGACGGCAATGATGGTAGCTGATGGTGGCAGAAAAAGAATTTAATTTCATCATCCTATATTTTTAATGGAATGAATTTTTCCTTATTTAAAGTCACCTCAATTCTTTAGCTAATTGAACCATACATGAAAATCCGATAGAATTACCAAGAATTCCTGCGAACCAAAATAATGTCAAATGAAATAATGAGAATTACTAACTCTCTTTTCGGAAAAATACATATGTTAACTGTTTGACAGTAAAAAGTAAAAAACACGGCATCAGTTTATATTTTTAGTTTGGGAATATATGACTTATTAAGATAATTAACTTTTCGGTATGTTCACATCTCGATAACTATCTTTTTTTTATACACATCCAGGTAACAAACTTGTTGGAGGTGTTCACATATGACAATTATGACCTGCTATAGCAGGTTAAATCGTAGATGTGAACGCTTTCAACAAGTTCGTTATCTAGATGTGTACAAAAAAAAAATAGTTATCCAAATATGAACAAAACGAAAAGTAAAAGTAAATTACACAAATGGTCCCTATGATTTGGGGGAATTTGTGTTTTTGGTCCCTAACTTATTTTTTTAACTTGGATGGTCCCTACTGTTTATTTTGTTG